ATGACGGGCTTGTACCCAGGAAGAGAAGCTTCAGGAGGCAACACTTGTGGGAACGTGCTTGAGAAAACCGTGTGCAAGCAGGGAAGAAGGCAGTCCTGAAGCAATAACAGTATGGTTTTTACAGACTCCTCACAATTGCTCAATCACCAAAAGCCTTTAAAAACAATGCTTAAAAAAGGAGCTCATTGGAATGAGCTTTGATGCTTCAAATCTCTTGCAGCAGGACCAGGCAAGTCTTTTAAAGTGGGATTTCTCATCCCACAGCAGTATTTTGAGCACCATCTCTCCTTTCTAATGTAAAACTGGCATAACCATTCCTCAATTGGGTTAATTTAGCAGTCTGCATTTCCCATTATTTGAACCCCACAATTACAAAAATAAACTGTAAATATGTATCTCCTCTGTAGCTCCCTAACGTCATCACACTTTCCATTCCAGTGTCTGTAAGCTTCCAAGGCAGAAGAGCAATTTAATTATCAAATAGACTAACTGGCACTGCTTATTCCTAGAAGAAATGCACATCAATGCAAAATACTTCAGTTAAGTGAAGAGAGACCGGGTGCCACACTTTGCAAACAGATCGCCTGTGGGTACTACAGGATTACTGCCAAAAAGAACAAGATGCTCTGTTTTCACTGTCCAACAGAAATCAGTACCAGGTGTCAGTTTATCAGCTGGAATTATACGAGTAAGGAAAAAATGCTCCTCTGGTCTGATGGTGGCACTTGGCTGCTGCCTACTCTCCTACCCAAAGGTTCAGTTCCAACTGGTGTGCAGCCAGGCTGTGAGCATACCAGACACCTGTAATGGTGGTGTGGGACCCGCCAGATCACCACTGGTTCTAACAGGAGAGTTAGGAAAGAATAATAACAGTGATGCCCTTACTTTCCTCAGCTTCTGAAACAATTAGCAGTTGCAATTGTTTTATTTGTAATCTAAATCCACTTTGGCATTAATGAGCTGAGAGAAAACAAGCACATACACACTCTAACACACCACAGCAGTGCTGATACACTTTTGCTTGCACGTTCTAAACAGAGATGTTATAAGCAGAGAAGCACTGCAGTTATGGTGCGGGCAAGGGCTCTCAAGCAGACAATCTCTGCACTTGGACCGAGAGGTCCAAGCAACGACTGATGATCCTGTGCCAGCTGCCTGCTGCTGTTATTGAAGTTATAACTGTGTTTATATTTAAGCCATAAACTGTGCTTTATACACAGTCATAAAAATACCGTCTGTATTTATCTCCTAAATTAATTCCAAAAATGCCTTTCAGCTCTGGCTCCAGTAGCTAAGCAGCTCACCACCAGGTGGCACATAGGTATTTGACTGTAAGGATCTCAAATGCTTTAGAGACACAAACGACAGCACGGATTCATGAAACAATCTGGTGTCCACGCATTTCAGAAAACCAAAGTGACAGCTTCGTGTTTGATGCTGCCGAGCGCCTATGGATGGATGCCACCGTGCCACACAGCCCAGCTTGTGCTCCACATGACAGTTCACAAGGCACAGTGTTGTCACACGTCTTAATCCTCAGGTGAATTCTCATTGGTTAAGAGAAAAATATCTTTTTTGGGTAACTGGAGGCCTTCCTAGAGAAAGAATAAACACTAATTGAACACTTGCTCATTTACACCTGCAATAGTCTACAGGCTAAAACCTGCTTGGGATGTGTTGTTTCTTAGCACCCAATTATTTTGGTTTGGAGTATCAGCGTACAATTGGTCTCCTGAAGCACTCATGGTTAGAATGAAAGGCAGAAAATGAAACCACCATCCAGGTTATTCATCCAGGAGTGCTCAATTCACTGAAGTTACAGTACAAACTGCAGAAGAGCAAAGCAGTGGGAGCAATTTCCACATTGGAGCTTTGAGAAGCGTGCCAGCAGGAACCAAGTAGGTGCAGGGGAAACCATTAAGTCAGTGGGCTCTTAGTGTGTGCATTAAGTCCCAACTGTCATAATTTTTCATAGGTCCTATGACATAAATGTCCTTTGGATAACACAATCTAAGATTTAGAAATTATTCTGTCACTCACTGCTGCTTCAAAAACCCTCAAGGTTGTCACAGTAATTCAAGACCTGCTCCTAATAGTTTTTGGAGTCCAGTATGCTTACACTATTTTTGTAAGCTTTGTCATTACAATTCTTTGCATTTCCCCCTGTTAATACTTGCCATGAAAAAAATATATACATATATATATATATATATATATATATATATATATATGAAGACAACTGCTGTTTTAGATTAGCTTCTGCTTGGACTGAGAGCACCCGGAACTGTTGATGCTGAGATTTATCAAATTGTACTTTGTTCCATATGTTTTAGAACCTACATTGATACTTTTTTCACTGGGCAATTGTGAAATACAAACAACAACAAAAAAGTCTTCGTATATTTCCAAAGCATGCCTCAATACGTGTTTGAAAATCAAATCAAGGAACTTCAAGATTAGACAAAGTGTGTACAAGGGATGCACTGATCTCACCCTATAACCTGACTGATGTCACTGTTCTGATTTAACACATGGCTCAGATGGGTGCCACATCGAGGCTCTCATTTCCCATGCTTTCTGTTCTGCAGAATCAAATTCAAACTGTTACACAGCCAGTGATAATACAGCAATAAAAAAAATGTTATTTTTAAGACTTACCAGATATCCACATTGAGTTTGTTTGAACACATTTGCCGTAGTAGGGCCACAAATGATCAAACCATCAAAATACATTTTTGAACATAAAACTGACACGATTAAAGGAAGAAACCACTGCAATTTAATAGCAACAATTTCACTTCACAACATAATAAAGATGGAAAATTTGCAAAGGAATCTGTAAAAAGAGAATATAATTAAAAATTGCAGATTTAAGAGAACATAAAGTTGAAAATTAAATAGCACAGTAATTGGAGTAGGTTGGAATTGTAACCAAATGTTCATTTGATACAGCATTCTGATTAGTAAGTGACACTGTATTACCAGCACTGACTGAAATCCGATAAATACCATCCCTTTGAAGCAGGCAGGATTTGGTGTTCGATGACCTTGCACAGACGGACAGAAGTTACCCGTAGCACAGAGCCAGTTCACATGTGGTCAGTAGCAAAGCTCCTGAACAGAACAAAAAGACCTGGAACGCACACAACCACCAGAAGGTAACTTACTGCCACTACGGAGATCTCAATATCTAACGCACTCCACAAATACAAATATTTTAGATTTCCTTCAGACATATACCACTGTCAAACATGAACCAAAACTAAGCGGAGGTGATGTAGTTTTGTGGATGGAGAGGAGTGCTGGACTGGGACCTATGAAATTTGGATTCAGCTCCTGGGTTGAGCCCAGACTCCCAGACTAATACATTCAGTAAGATGGAAATTACAAATTACACTGGCTTTGACATCTACAGAGAAAAAAAAAAAACAACAGTGAAGGCTTACTATTAAAAATTAAATAGGAACTATACAACACTTTCTCTAATCACCTTATAGATTACATTATAATTAACTTTATTAAGTGTGGCTGCTGGTAATGCTGAGTAAAAATAATGGAATGAAACATGCCTGAATGTAAATGAAGGACTCCACATGAGTAGAAGTCACACATAGTTTCTCTTCTTTGAACCTGATTCATGCCAAAGTCAGCAGTGCCCACTGAATGCAGGCACCCACAGGAATCTCAGAACAAAAACCGGCCCCACGAGAAGCAGATCCTACACAGAAGCCTGGTGACACCGGGATTTCACTTCCAAAGTCTGCCCTGATACTTAAGCAGTAGTGAAGGATTTATCAAGACGGAGGGTGGTGCTGTTATGAAAAGAGGTCTACGTTTCAGAATTGGCTGAAGCCCACTGGAACTGCTTAAGGAAGTTTAAGTGTTTATAAGTCACATAAGCATAAGAGAAACCAAAGCCTTTTGCTCATTAAATAATACAAAATAATGTGATGAACATAAACAGAGGAAAAAGCCCACAAAGATTTCTTTTTGCGGTTTATTTTCAATTATAATTTTTGGATAACCAAGCAGCTCTGTATGGAGAAAGCACAGAAGAGTAATTCTGGCACTTTAGGACAGTACATTTTTTTTTTCCCAAAAAGTTTTCTAGACACATTCAGTCCACTTGCTCGGCCTATAGTCCATTTAATGAGCATGATTAGCTCAGACGATTCCAGAGGAAGCTAACAATATATACAGTCAATGAAACTATCTTCTTGGCTACTCTGGGCCCTTTAAAATGTCTTCTAAGTCTACCCTGGCTAAACAGAATCCACAATATACATGATAGCTACAGAATACACTGTACTGAAATGAGAAATGCTCAGCACAAAAGGGACTCTTGGCATGCAGCTTAAAATAAAAGGTAGAAGTTCAGAAGTTTATAAAATCCCAAACGGGGTCAATTAAAAGGAGTTAGCAAAAGAAGGGACTGTTCATTGTTACTGTAAAAAAGGCACTTTGAGTAAATGGGACCAGAATTGGAGGAATCTTAGTCGACACAAAGTTCAGTTTGGTTTCATAAAAAGGCTTCAATGCTAAGGGATGCTACTCAAGTTTCCTGCAGTTTTACATTAAAATAAATTGCTGAGTAGTTTATAATAAAGGACATAAAATGTTTACAACCAACTTGTGAAATTAAGAAAAGCATAGTATAAGCAAAATATTACTAAAAGCAGCAATGCATAGCCTTTCATTGAGATAATGCACAATTTTGGACACCATGTGTCAAACTCTTGTTTTTAAGATACTTTCAGTAGCATTATCAACATAGAATTAGCCTACAAAACAAAAGCTTTACCAGCTCCCATTCTTAAGGAGATTGAGGTCATAAACCAACCAAAACGATTTGTCAGTATTTTCAACATCCTGGATGACCAATATCAAGTATATGAAATAACAATCACACTCTTTGTTCAGCTATCTCACCGGAGGCAGCTGCTAAATCAGAGGAATGATTTTAATTCTTTTTCTAACATTTACACAGTAATGCGTTTAAGTTCTTTCAAATGTTGCTCACCAGTTTATTTTTCTCTTTTCTCTCCACAAAAAAAAAAAAAAAGAAAAAAAAAAAAAAAAGGGAGAAAAAAAAAATCAAGCACTTCCACAGAAAGAATATTTGGCAATTTTATACTCCACTGAATGGTGGATTTTCACAATAGCTTACTTCAGGTTGAAAGTCATTAGTGGTCTTTCCTCTCGTTTCTGCCAAGGACTCTTCTTATCTTCACCTTGGTCATCTTCCTCATCCTCCTCATCCTCCTCCTCATCTTGACCTGACGTTCCATGCTCAGGACTAGTTAATGGCTCTGGTTTGGTATCCACAGTTCTCGTTTCCTCCTGCAGACTGGGCAGCTGCACACCACTTCTCTTACTCGTGCCTTCCAGTAGGCATCGCAGAGCATTGTCCTCAGGGCTACAAACCGCCGTTCCGCACTCGCTGCCACTTTGGTCCATATCATCCAAATACACAAGTTGGGTGTAAGCTGTGCTATCCGAAACCTTCCGCTCTCTCTGCTGGTGCTCTTGCACTGGTGGGTGACTCTGTGGTGCAGACAGATGATCTCCTCTTCCCTTTCGTGCAGATTTTGGTTCGTTCATGTCGACGCCAGAGTCCAAACTGGCATCGTTACTCCCATTCCTCCCAGCTCTTTGGAGATCGATGTACGAATGTCTAACGTGAGCATTTGAGCGTCCATCTAGAGAAACGAACCACGCTCGAGGATGAGGCAATGGCTTTCCTCCTCCTAATTCCATCAACGCCTTTTCTGTAAGAAGCTGCACTTCGCTGTTCATTTGAGCCAGGGATGCGTCATTAAGTGAGGCGGGGATGGAAATAGATTCAGACATGGAAGCGTTTTGTTGACTCCACTCAGCTGCACCTGCATCTTGCAAATGTTGTTGAGATATTGCTTGTGATGTCAACTGTTGGGGCTGCAACTGTTGAGGGGGGTGTGGAAAAAGCCGTGCATGAGGATTGGGAAGCTCAGCCTGAAGTCTTTCTAGATCAATGGGCTGGTCAGCGGGGACAACCAGCGGCTGGCTAACGAAAGAGTGCTCTGGTAATTTCATGTAATGACCCGGGATCACCAGTGCAGGCAAAACTTTTCTGTAAACACTGTCATTAACTTGGTCAACAGAATTGCAGCAGATTAACTGACCTGGTCGAGGGAAAGATGTAGGTCTTTCAAGGTGATCGACCGAACGAGACATCATACATTCAGTAGGTCTGCAGTCCAGCAGCTCTTTTTCAGGAGCCGAAGGTGTGGGGTATATTTGTTCCTGAATATTGTATTTACTTCCAGTAGCAATATGGTTCATAGATACTTGAATTTCTCTCTCTTGCTTTTCAAATAAAGGCTGAGATAGCATAGCATTGTAACTTCTCCTATATTCATCTTTGACGGGGGACTCATAGCCTTCACCTGTTTCTGTAGATTTTCTTGTCTTTAAAGGAAAACTATCTGCTGATTTGTGGTAGTCTTTTCTCAGAGACCCGCTGGGAGTCAGGTCATCCAAGGAAATTCTGCTCTTGTCTTTCTCCTTGTCAGAGAGCAGTTCCTCTCGGGAGCTGAACTCCTGGGAAGTACTGAAGGAGTGTTTGAGCATAGGTGTATGCATATCTGCTTCTCCACTAGGTGACACCATCTCCATGTGGACAGCACTGATTAATTCCTTCGCACCTGAGTTTTCAGTGTGTCCATTGCTAGCAACAGAGAGCCCGCCAGGAAATTCTGACTCACGGCGTGAAAATATTAAATTTATATGGGACATAGAGGTTGCTTGATCCTTCTTAGAAGTGTCCAGTGCTGTGGGAAGTTGCAGTTTCTTATGATGCTGACGAGGTCTTAAACATTTTCTTCTATAAAAGCCAGTAACAAAAGAGTTACACAGTTAGGACTATTGTATGCAGAAACAAGTACAGCAGGTGTGTGTCAAGGGGAGGCTTTCAGGCAGTGATTAGCGATGGGGGGAACTGAGCTTCTATTACTTAACCTACCAATTAAAACCTTATCTGAGCAGCAAGGATAAAATTACAGAGCAACTTATGTCAGTTGCAAGCATCTCAAGCATCAATTACAAATTGGAGCAAAATGCCTGCAGGAGGCATATACAAAATCAGTCGTTAACATAGACTTGCTGATAAAAGTTGAACATTCTTTTTAATGCAGGACTGATTTTAAAAGGTCAGTTGGCAAGTGCAAAACAGGTACAATTGCAGAGATCTTGGACCAATACCTGTTTTTGGATATGAAGTTTTAGAAAACACAGGTATAGATGTGCACATTCAGCTTTCAGATTCCTTTAGCTACCATGCTACCAGAGACAGGGACTGTATGTGCTGTAAGTAGCCAGGAACACATGAAATCTGATTTCAATATTTCTTTCCTTTTCAAAAATGCTTTCTTTCTTTTTTTATTCTAAGTACAAAAGTTTAAGCTTTTAATTTAATGAGTACAAAAAGAGCTTAATTTCCAACATGACCTAAGTAACCAGGACGTGAATCTTACCTGCAATAATACAAAAGGAGACACAGTAAGACTAGAAGTATGAGAGCCATCCCTCCTAAAATTGCCAAAAGAAACATGGTGTGATAGCTGGTAATGTCGTGTGTTACAACGGGACCTGGAAGGCCAGAAAAGAGAGTTTAGATGCGCAACAGCCTGCAAACAAGAAAAGGAACAATATAAACAGAGAGGGACAGCTTCCCTGGTTATCAGGATGCTAAGCGAGCAACACTGCCGCTCATAGCCCTGGTGCCTATTGAGCAAACCACCTCTGAAGAAGGGAGCAAGTTGTGGAGAAAGCGTGTGCTGGTTTTCATGACTGCAAGTCCAAATAGATCATTCTGTGGAAAAGCAGTTAGTTTAAATGGGAGCATGCATCAGTGAATGCTGCCTTCCAGGTCCTGATGCTGACACAGTGCACTAAAGCTCTCATCACTGGAGAGAAGTCATCACTGCATCTTCCAGCACTGTAATGCACATAGCAGCACTGTAGCTAACAACTTCTCTCCAACGTTTGTGTTGCTTTGCACTGATGAGTATGTACATTGCAGTACAGGATTCACTGGAAGATGTGTTGGTGCTCTTTAGTCTAGATCAAGCCAGCCACGTGGATCTTCAGTAGCTTAAAAAAGCAAGCCACTTGCAAACCAGTGTTGTAACTCCAGGTTTCAATAATGCTTAGCAAACATTCTGGCATACAAAGAAATGCACACGCGTGGACAGCATCTCTTCACAATTATGCATGTGTAACTCTGTTGGTTTGTAAAATCCTCCTCATGATTTTGAAATAAAAGCCCAAATTTCCATCTGTTGTTAATGAGGTACAGCACCAGCTGACAGAGTAACATGCATGTACTGTGGAAGACAGCAAAACTGAAAAACATTAAGGTTCTAGATCATGAGGTTTCTAAAACCTCATTTGTGGATCTTGAGTGGTCTGTAGAGCCACTGCTAGGAACACAAACCTCATTTTTGTCCATTTTTTCAGATAAGAAATCCAAACAGATTCAACAAGGAGACAAAATAAGTGAAAATACATTAGCCTAATTAAAAGAACATCAACTAGCTTACGGTTGGAAAACCTAAATATTTGTATGTGCTATGCCACTACTACCCTTACATAATTGATTGTTAATGTGGCTTCAGGAGATTAAGTAAAAGGGAGAAGAGAAAAATCATTTGAATTTTTCATGAAAACGTTGCTTTCGTTGGAACAAAGTGTTAGGAACTCTGATCTAACTGTCAGAAAGAAGGAAATGGAGAATACGAGCTGAAATTCTGCCATACAAGATAAACTGCAAGGACAAATGTAGGCCTTCTCCCGTCATGAGTTACAGGCTGCCTTCTAATTAAAGAATTAGGGGGCAAATGTCATGACTGGTAACTTCCTTACAAGCTGTGGCATTTGCTCAGAGCAGCTACCTTTTCTTTATGTACAGTTATTTTGCAAAATTCCATTACATTCAATGTGATAGTGCAGTGCAGATCAGGATAAGCTATCTAACCTCTGATCTACAGTATATCAGCTGAATATTCCATCAGTTTCATTTAATATAATCTTAAATAACACAGCTAAAGTCCCAAATCCTCTACATAGCATGTACCGACTACATGGAACATGCAAGCAGATTTTAGAAACAGAGTTTGTTTCATTGGTTAGATATAGTTTATTTAGTTCTGCACAGCCAAGACAAGAACGTTTTCATTTCTACTGCTTGGCTTTCATCCAGAAAACCTAACGCAGAAAATCTCTAAGAAGAAGAGTATTTTGTTGGATTGATTTATACAGAAGTTATCTCTGACTTGTCATGGCTGAAGGCAAGAAACTTAAGGCTGCCTCAGACAGGGAAAGGGAAGAGCAAACTGCAACATTAATCATCTCTGTGGGCACAGAAATACATGTAAAACACAGTTCAAAAGTTCTAACGTTATGCAAAGAGGCCTGCAGATGGCAACCAGTAAGCCCATCTACCAGTGTCACTCTGCTAATACACTTTCTGCAGCTTCTACCCTATGTTATTCATGGCATAAATTAACTAGTCATCAAGGTGATGCAAAACCTAAGTCATGGCAACCAGCATCTCCAGTATATTAAAAAAAAAAAAAATTACAATCAATTAAAGAGTAAACTTCTGACCCAGGATGATGTTGGTTTTGGGTGAACGCATTAATTTGGGAATTTTTGTACAGAAACTTCATAACAATTATTTTTCTGTCTGCTGGATGCACCAATGCACTGATGTTGCACTTCCCCTCGTTTTCTAGCAATGGCTCTACCAGGCAGTGGTGACAAACACATCAAAGCAGGAACACTTTAAAAAGCTTTCCATTGAAATGATTCAGAGATTAGCATACTCAAAACAATTCTGGAGCACAATGTTTGCCCCCCACATTCCCCAAAAGATTTTAGCCCTTTACTTTCAGATTTCTGCTTTCTAATAATCCATTATTGATCAAGCTGGGGCATCTCAGATGAGGTCATTCTGAAAAATATAAACATTATATATAAATAAATAATTACTCAACGTTGGACATACCAGTGAAATTCAATTCCTTCTTACCTGGGATAGTAGGTGACATGGCTGCAACCCAGTAGCCCAGCTGAGGGGCAATGTAAGTCCAAGTCAACTGATTTCCTTCCTGTTGCACAAGTCCCAAACTACTCTTCAGCCACGTCCCTGTAAATATAAAGGTTGTAGAAAGGCATTGCACATGTATCCATACCTTCCTCTGCAAACAAGAGGAAAACCAAATGGTAACCTATGGATGTGCTTTAGGAATTGCATGCATTGCTGTCTAGTTGGAGATCACAGCTTTCTGCCACTGGCACTTGAAGACTCCCTGTGGCCTTTTCAGAAGGTCTGTACACAAAAAAGCACTTGAAATTAAATAAAATTCAAAGTTTCCAAAAGAAGTTACGGAATATCATCATTATTAGATTCCACTTCTTTGAAGAATTATATTCCTGGAGCTGATTATATGTGAACAGCAGATTTAAAAACTATGCCAAGAGACAGCACAACTTAGACCACACATGAGTTCTTCACACCACCTTTCTATGTTGTGCACTGGCAAGAGATCAAGAGATGGAAAGACAAAAGAAAATTCCTCCCCAAAATGCCAGTTTTCTTGTACTGAAAACAGGCTTATGCGTGGCACTTGCAGTATATGTACAATGAGGTTTCATCTCTTTGACTTGGTGACGTTAGTCATTCCAAGCATGTATACATCAGAAAATAGTTTGCTTAGTAATGGATGATGAGTTTTCTAAAATACGTTTCTCAAAGGAAATACAATCGATTTTTTAGAATTAGCAAATGTATTAATCATGATGTTTAGTCAGCAGACAGCTTTACAGCAGTGTGTTCAAGTTAACAAAACTCTTAAATAATCCAGACTGAAGACCTGTACTAGTTAAGATAAATTATGTTCCAATCATTGAGCTACAAAAAACTTTATGACAAAATCAGCCGTTAATCTCTTCTTGTAATTGATTAAGACTTTTGATTCTGGGGCAATGAGAGAAAGAATCACTTTGGGCACCGGCACAGGCTGCCCAGGGCAGTGGTCACTGCCCAAAGCGCCAGAGTTTAAGGAGTGTTTGGACAGTGCTCTGTCATTAGGTTGGAATTTTGGATGGTTCTGTGTGGAACCAGGAGTTGGACTCAATCCTTGTGGGTCCTTTCTGACTTTGGACACTATAGCTCTACAATATTAAACATCCCTTATGGCTGTGCACTGCTAGGAGTTAAAGAATCAGACTGCAGATAACAGACAAGCTACCCACATGGGTATGTGTGACAAGTTTGCCCAGCTGCAAGAAAACAGGACTGAGTGTAGGAAAGATCTGAGGCATTTTCCAAAGCTGCAGTCCTGGCAGTGAGCATTGCACTCATGCTATTAATGCAAGTGAGATAAGGAGGTTCTCTGCATGCTTTGGTGGCCACTACCACTACTGCTATCTAATCTGCATGCAGAGAACCAATGCCTCAGCACTTCTGTAGGATCAGCTGTGTACTGCTGTCTGAAGGGAAGGCAGTGCCTTTACCTTACTCAGCTTCAAATGCTCGCTGTAAAGACGAGCTGCATCTTGCACTCACAATCACCTTTCTTTTAAATAGTCTCCTGTCTGGAGCTCCTGAGTTTTTTTTTTTAATCAACTGTCACTCAGGACTGAGCACAAGCATTAGGTGTGTGTCATCTCTACATCTAGCAGTGAATGCAAACGCATGGAGGAATTATATTTTTTTTAATACCACTGAGATCTTGATTATTTCCTCCATGGAAATAATTTCTTGGATTACCATCTGTGCAAACCCTGTACATGTGAGAATGACTTTTCTGATTATTTCTTCTTCACTGTTGATTTGTCCTGTATAAGTATACCTTTAAAGACAGCCATCTTTGGCTAATATTAAACCCATCTGAATATAGTGAAAGGCTGTTCGAAAAATAAGCATTTAAGAGGATTTCTAGATCTATGTGACTATCACTGCCACATACTGACTCTGCATTTGAAACCAAGCTGAATCTGTGACCAGCAGGACAAAGAAATTACTGACAATCTTCTGTTTTTCAAGTATCATTTTCAGTCAGTACACAGTAGTAATGACTTGTTACTTCATCCAGAAAGTCATGCAAGACATGTCATGCTGATTCACAGAGACCAAAATCTATATGCAGTTTTGCTTATATGGCATCCATAAACATTGTATGAGAACACCCTGACACAGCTGTTATTTCACCAAAAACAGAACTGAACTATCCACAGTTGTTTGTGGGATTTTATAGAAAAACTAGGAACATGAGATTCATGTTCTTCCCCTGGATGGCCACTTTCCCTGCAGATCTTCTACCAGTGCACTTTTACACAATGTGTCATACCAACAGCCCTGAACACAGCTGAAAAATAGCCCATAGGGTCACTTCTATCTTGTGCTTAAATGCTGTTTGGGAAGAAAACGCCTCTAAACTTCAACTCCCCCCCCCCCATAAATTCTGTGGACCAAATAATCCAGACTGAAATAGTGAGAAAACTGCTACTCCAGACACAGAATAGGCACCAACTATTCAAATACACAGCTATGCGGAAGAAACATTAAGAGATTCAAAAGTGCTGACTGAAAAGAAGAATGCAAGGACCCAGCTGATGCTCATCGTGCTACCTCCACTTCTTTTACAGTCTCCAAACCCTTCCGATTCACACACAAAGACATGCATATGTAGCACTGCAAAGTTCACTATCTTTGTAGTCCCTTTTTACAGTTACCTCTTTCAGCAGAAGCTATTACCGATTTCTTCACTAGGGGGAACTGGTGTCCAGCTTGCCTTACTCACATCACACAGCGTTCCAACGAACAGAATCCCTGTAATGCCTCTTTAAAAGTCTTTTGCTCAGTAATTCCCTGCCTGCATAATGCAGCGATCAAGGAGCTATCACAGGCTGCACTCTTATCGCAGGGAGCAGGGCTCAGCTGCCATCCTGCCAAGCAGCAGCAGCTCAGATTGCTCATATTTTAGAAACAAAAGGAATCCCAGTATTTGCAATGGAAACAAACAACAAAGTCAACTGCACAAGGTCAGCTGGGTTTCATGTTTGTCTCCTGCTCACTTAGATCACTTGTTTTTGTTAACCACTGGATACACTCAAGGAAATGTAATGGTTGTTATAGCACTTGCGAGAAAACTAGTTGCTTCCCTCTGTACACATAACTAAGTTTTAAAATCCTAAGAGATACATCCAGTATTGGATACCCTCAGAAAGTTGTACGAGGTTTCTGTTGATCATACCCTACAGGTTAGCATGTGAGGACAGCCAGAAGAGATTGATTTTTCAAGTGGCACTGACACAAGTTCCTTCACCTGGGCAATGCCAAGGGTGGGCGCCTGGGTGACACGGGTAAACAATTTCATCATCTGCCTTTCTTAATACTTTCCTTGTACAACGGTTTGCTAATAAGCTAGCCTCATGCTTCTGCCATCTCTCACCTACAGTTCACTAATAAAATAGCATCCTCTCACATGGTAGGATGAGGAAAATGAGGAACTCCATCTTCACAGTGGCAGCAGCAGAACAAGACGGAATGGAAGCAGCTGAAACACTGTATTGTTTCTGTGTGTGCTGCGCTGTATCGTTTCTTATATGATCAAATAGCTGGAAGCCAACACAGTATTATTGGAGGGAAATGACTTCCAGTATTGTGCAGTATTCTGCAGGTCCCTCAGGGCATTTCCAGGTCTCTCTCACATTTCATCCCTCATAGGTTTCTAATATCCTGGTCACTTTTCAGCTATCAGTAAACACCAAGCAGTGTTCTTGTAACTCCACGTGCAATACCTCATCATAATGGTTAACCTGGCACCTTCTACCAAGGCAAACACAATCACTCTGTACTAGTCATACTTGTAGCATTTCAAGCTGCTTTGATGAAGCACCCATTCACTGCTTTGCAGTGACAAGAATCAGTTCTTTACTGTATCCTGGATTCCTCCACACAGCAGGAAACACAATGTTCTCCTTCTCCAAAAGCACAGCTAACTGTCCTCTGTGTCCTCCTGTACTTTCTGGTATGCAGGAGCGAAAATTGAGAGGCAGAGAATAAAGAACTTCCATTTTGTCCTCTCCTACTCACTGGCTTGCAAAGAGAGCCGTATCCTACAGGTAGGACTACAGTTGCCAAAGAGTTAAGCAGAAACATTTAGGAGGGAAGAGAGGTCTTATCTCCCTGCATGGCTAAGTGTTAGGATATTTTAATTCATTATTCTCCAAACATTCTATACCATCTACTTCCTTTTTTCCCACAAGTCAGAACAACAGATTAGCTCTACTGCTTGCTCAGTTAAATACAATTTGTAGCAGTTGTTAAGTAGTAAACAATATGTGATTATAAACAAAAAACAGTACAAATGTAATGGAACTGATAATCTTTGTTCAAGATTGATCCTGTAGTTCCAAAGAAAACATACCAATGTATCTTTGGAGCAGAAAGAGCAACGTTAGTATGATTTGTCAGTGCTGCATGCCTTGGGCGAATTTGCCATCAATTCTTAAAGAGTGTCTGGTGCTTCATGGAAAATTTCTATATATAGACACATTCCTCCTTATAGATCATTTTTACATTTCTCTTCCACTTTTTCCTCTATTACTGCTCAGAGTAGCCAACATGCTGATCCAGGACTCAAGTCAGGGGAGCTGTCTACTGGCTCAAACTAATGGTAGGGGGAGAACAGAGAAGTTCAGTTTTTTGATTTTAACTCTTTCCTCACACAAACACAATATATACATATATATATACACACATATATGCATATAAATTGCATTTAGTATTACTGACACTGGAATTCATGTTATCATTTAACAAATTTGTTCTTAAAAATCTTTTAAAACAGCTGCCAGCACTCCTTCCTACATTTAACTTAAAATGAAGGCAAGAAAAGTACTACCATAGCATAATTCATTTATCATAGAATGGGCTGGGTTGAAAAGGACCACAATGTTACTCTAGTTTCAACCCCCCTGCTATGTGCAGGGTTGCCAGCCATCAGACCAGGCTGCCCAGAGCCACATCCAGCCTGGCCTTGAATGCCTGCAGGGATGGGGCATCCACAACCTCCTTGGGCAACCTGTTCCAGTGCTTCACCACTCTGTGTGAAAAACTTCCTCCTAATATCTAACCTA